GATTCCAGTGGGCCTCATGCCCGTATTAAGAAATGCTGCAACGCGAGTGGTCTTTAAGCGGTAACGAGATAGGTGCGGATGAATTACAAAGCAACGTCAGTTCCAATGACGGCTGATATCTTCTGTGCCCTTAATTTCTAGGTGCTGAACATAATCTTAGTCTAACCTTACCTTTACGCGGTCGTGGGTAACGGCCAGGTATTGCTTTTTCTGGTAAGTGCCGACCAAGCAGCACATGCAAGATCGATCGAGCACGTTAGATGAAAACAGCTGCTTAATGGTTTGCCCCTGCTCACCGGAATGGCTGAAACGAACATTCTCGAAAACGCCGTCACTCGAACCCATTGCGATGGTCTAAATGGTTAGTTGGTGTTACACGAGTAAATGAAGGTTCACGGCACGTGCAGCACCGCAACTGCCGCTTACCGCCAGATTGCTGGTCATCTCGAATGACTTTTCGGTCGTGTGCATCTGCTGGAATGCCGTTTTCAAACGAACGACATTTCGCGCTGCGGTATGCTCCAGGTCTGCAACCATGGTCACCGGCAACGCGTCCTTCAGCAGAAGCAGCGTATTCTCAGCAATCAACTGGCGATTTGCATTCTACATGGAAGCAACGTTAAAAAAAACATAAATTAACAACCGCGCAAACTTTCAGTCACGTACCAATTCGTCCATCAGAGAACTGCCGTATGCACTCAGATCAAAATCAGGAATGACCATCTCTTTGAAGACAGTTACTTTCCTTTCCGCAGCCATCACCTGCGACATTGCCTCCATATCGGATGATGACGGATGAGCGGAAGAACGTGATTTTGACGAACGTGATGACTTTTGACTACACTCGCTCTTTCGTTTGCTGTGAATTCTTTTCACAAGAGCCTAAGCAAAGCAATACTCATTAGATGACACTATAAGCTTCCTACGGTTTAAGCAGCAATTTCAGAAACATCTTAACTCAAAATTAACGAGGTAAACATGGTCGCCATAAAAATGCAAACACTATCAGAAAAATGATTGAAAACATTATCTTCTGCTTTTCTAATGATATACTTTTAATGTAATTAATGCATCACCCAGAAATTACGAAAACGAGAGGGCAGAGAGCCACTTATGCAGCTTATAAAAAAATTGCTACTACTTTGTATTTTAAGTTTATGCGCTTAAAGGCATTGCTACTCCGATAACATAATACTGTTTACTATTTCAAAACCCTGCAAGAAAACCATAAACAACGTGGATCTAATTTAGCTGTTGCAAAAAGTCAAAATCCAAAGTTTTCAGAAATAAACACTGAAAGCTCGTCGACGCTGCCAAATCATAACGTCAGCGCTGTTAAATGAATAGAGAACTTTACGCAGAAATGAAAACGGAACTTTCTAAGAAATGTTTTCACTGCTAGCATCCCTTCATCACACGCATGCAGTTGAACATCCGTTTTTCAATGCAGTTTAATACTATCTTAATGCGCGAATTTTTCTAGTCTCCTCTTGGCCCATTCCAATGGAACGTGCATAACAATGAAGCAGTTTCGCTACGCCGATGGTCTGCATGATATGGCGGTTTCCATCATTCCACGGTTGTTTGTTAGCGGTGGTTCTTGGTTACTGACAAAATTTTGGCTCGTTCTTTCTTCGTCATTAGTTGTAGCGCTATATAATTAACCCACAGAATACGCTGAAAGTAATTCACTTTCTCATCGCTACTGCACTCTATATTTAGATTTTACAACGGTTAGTCAACGAATCATACTTTCAACGTAAACACTACATTCTTTCCATATCGGTTCAAACTATGACAGCACCACCGTTACTGTTGTCATTCTAATGCAAAACTCACCTGAACAAGATGTGCTCATCTTTTCGTGTTCCAGATAACTGCCTTACTGCGAACTGTCTATCTCCTCACCATTCTAGGCCTGTGCTCATCGTTTTCGATTTTCCTGTTTAGTGGCAAACAAAAATACGCTACCCTCGTGTTAAAACGGAGGAGGCAACGTCGAAGTTTTTCTCCCTGGTCTTTCGAAGCAGATTAATGTTGTCTGCAATCGAGGAGCGCCCATCCGTCGGCTGTCAACTGATATGGATTAAATTACCTTTTCCTATGCATCTCCAAGCGTTCACTAGCAGAAAATTACAAACGTTGGTCAGCTTTATCACATGATGACATTCATTCAGAATACTTGACTTTCCTAAACTGCGCTACGAATTTTTGCACAACGTTCATTGGGAGCTGATGATTCGCCCAATGAGGTGGCATTCGCTCATGGACCCCCGAAATCTTTTCCATAATATTCTGTCGAATGAATTCGAGAAATCAATGAAATAATGACGAAGCATCAGAGTTGTTTCGGAATCTGTCACCTAGCATAAACATATTATACGATAGCTTTCCCACAGTGCAACACGGCCTGTTCTTTGCTAACTTCTCTTCAAGCAGAATAATTCTGCCAAGAACTGCCAGGATGACGTATACGACAGATGATAAAGCAGATAGTGTTACATTTTTTACTGATTCAGGTTCCCTTTCTTCGGAAAGGGAACGGTTCATTGATGAAAATAGTGTAGTGACTAAACAAAGTCTTAGTAAACTTGAGAAACGCAAGGATCGAATTCTAGCGAAAAGCAAAATCCCTGTAACTACTAATTTTCTTGATTAGTGACAGTGCTTCAGTAAAATAAGCCGGAAAATAGTAGACAGTCGCTAATCTACAAAAATAGGCTCATCGTGATGATCTGATGCAGTCGAACATCTACGTGGTAATGTACTTCCTGATACGTTGTTCAACGACTGTAATAGCGACTACAATAACCTACCCGATATTTGACTTAAAATCAGTAGGGCTTAAACTTAGCATTTAAAAAAGCTAGCGAACGTTCCCAGTTTCTGGGCCACTTTCTTGTTTGCCAGATCTGGGTACTACCGTCTAAGAGCATCCATTACGTAGTACGCACAATATCTAGCTAATTCGCAGGCGCATTTTCAATACCAACACCTTTTCACTGCCTCACCGTCCTCACTGCTTGTTGAACCCTTTCTCTAAATACTGATATTTTACCTTCCGTGTTATCGGCTCCATGAACCGCTTCTCTTTTATTATCGTTAAACTGAGGCGAAATCGCACAAATTATCGAAACATTTCTCACTGTCGTCGCATTTTTTTAATCGCTCAACATGGTTTTAGGCTTACCTTCAATTGCTCTGACTCGAAAGCATCTTCGTGGTTAGCTGGTACACTGTTCGGACAACCCTATGCATAGTTTATCGTAATTCGCTCTCGATTGCTCTGCATTGCTTTTCGACCCAACCGCCGTTCGCTTTTTCCGTATTCCATTTCCTTTTCTCGCTTACTGCATGATATCATTCAGTGAGAGTTACTGAATTCCTTCGATTCAATAAGAACTGGATTTTGATTTGTGCTTGCAAAATTGCACGAATAAAGAAGAATTATGATAAAAACGAGTATTAATATCTCGGCTATGTAATATCTCTGTAACTAAAGAATACCTGCTCTGTTCTATAGTTTAAAGGTGCATCGAGTCACATAATGCACTGCAGGACCTAGAATTAAACCCAATGTCTTCGCTGCAAATAGAGCTTTTCCTTGAAATAAGTCCGTTATGTATTAGTTTCTCAATTTCGGTACAGTTTATTTCCTATTACGATTATATGTAATCAAGTGCAAAAATAGGCAGTTCAGCTGAGTTAGGCATGAACACTTTAAAGACAGTTTAAAACTGATAGCGAATATCACACCTAATCAAGAAGACTAAAGCGCCTAGCGTATCTAGCCAGAAAACACATACCAAGCATGAATTATCTTCCTTTGCGCCGCAGTCGCAGAAGAACGAGCCGAACTTCGCATACGAAAGGTCGTGACCGCAGTGACACACTTTCGCGCAAATCGTGCATACGCCTTCACCATCGGTCATGTTGCACGTATGACAATAATACCAGTGTTGGTTCATGAACTCCTTTTGCGTAATTGTGAACGTACAAAGCTTACTATCCAGCGAATCCTCCTGCGATTCATCGCCGCTGTCTTCGTCGTCCGCCACGGCTAAAAAAAGACAGCAGCTAATATCGCATCAGTGAAAAACGACAGCATACTCAATGCCGCACAAAAGAATAAAAGGGAGAACAGGATAAACCGCAGTACGACAATAGGATAAATAATAAGGATAAATATGAAGCAAAAACGTCAAGCCATGTAACGACAGAACAACAAAAACTAGAACAGCAAAAAAACACGAACCGCTTCAATCCTGCCAGTGACTCTGACACGCTTCCTTCAAGAGAAACATGAAATAAAGCGGCGAACTACGCCTGACAAACCATTTGTGCATCAACTTGCCAGCATTAAACCCCAACCTATTAGAAAATAGCATACAGCTTGCCCGTTAGCGTGCAATAACTATCCAGCTGCGTCAAAAAAAAATCTGCCCAACAATATTGGCGGCATATTGCTAAGTCAGCGTGTGAGGCCGGGTGTTCTCTTCTCTGACTCCCTTGATGCTTCTACTCTAACTGGCGTTTCACTGCTGTTACCAAATCTGAATTCGCTTTCCGATCGCTGTCTATGAATGGAGTTGGGCTATATGTCAATGACATGACAACCGGTTACGGGGGCATCCGTCCCAGCCGACAACCACAGGGTATAATTAAGTGATATAGCTATCTTTTAGAATCTTATTTCGGTTCTAGCTATGGATGACAGAGATGGTCCAAAAGTGAATAGCATCCGTAAATTTCGAGAAGCTGCATGAAGTACAGAAAAACTGGACAATAGGAGCACACACGATGACCACTGTCATGAAAGTAATCGCATTCGCAGTTCTACACAGTTTGCAAACGTACGTTGTGCTGATACACCAAGATGTTTTTCTAGACTATCCTAAACATGCTGTGTGCGAAGCATACTCAAGAATACTTTAGACTAATCGCCTTATCTCGTGAAGACATTATTGAATTATTTCAGCGCTTATAATATTTTTACCTGTCAGATTCTCTTTCTAGACTTTTACTCCTCTTCGCAGTTTCTAATTCAGTAGCCTTGGTTTGTGGTCTTGAGACTGAGTGAATGAATGTGAAATGTTTGTTTGGTGAGACCAACTGAAAATTATATCTGATTAACTGTTTGAGGTCATGGTCCAATATGTATAAGAACAACTGTTTGCTGACACACTGAAAGATCAAAAGAAATAAAGACATTGTAAAGAGTAAGCTCCGTCAACGTTTGAGCTGCAGAAATGCAAAGAGTGTAGGCAAGGTAGCCACCGGGCGTTGAAATGAAAACTGATTCGATTTTGATGCTTTGTGGCAATAAATAGTTCTTTTATTCAGTACTTAGTTCAGTACTTCAACAACCTGGCCAACCAAAAAAGTTAGTTTTTACTACTGCGACTACTGCTGCTGTCTTAGAAAATAACAAAAACATGTTCTTCTCTGAGTTTAAAAGACATAATCGCATCAATTCCTGCTTCTTGAGGATTAAAGGGACAGTTGTTTACACATCAGAGCACCATAAAATTGCAGCCTGCAAAAGGGCCCCCTAGATATCTAGAAGCAAGGCGATGTAAATTCGGACAAGGGATGCGTATTGGTTAATCTCACTGGCAGTAGTGAAAACCAACTTTAAAGCATTTAAACCCGCTTCTTAGCAATTCTCCGCATATGTCATATTACCATTAGAGCCATTGAATATATTAAACTTAAACTCCCCACCGAAACTCTAGAAACAACAGGGTGGTGCGATTACGTGTTATCAACCCAGAAAAAAAACGTATTAGTCCCTTTACTGCCCAAACACTTTGCAGATTGTAGTACAAAGTTACTGAGAAACTAGCAACCTTAAAGAGGTTCTTCAGTATTCAATTTTAAAACTACACAGGATTCAAACGAAATTCACAACACCTGCTAGGAGACTGACGCATTCTTTCACCGAGTAAACTGCAAATTCGTTCGAACTAGTAAACAGCGAAAGGCAATAAAAGCAGCTGTAGTGCGCTTTAACACATACCAAAGCCTTCGCTTGCCACATCAAGCTCGTCTTCGCTCGAGGAACCGCTTTCTGAAAATCCTATCGTCTCAAGTTTCGTTACAGGTGATATCTTGTTGACGAGTATAAACAGCCGCGTAACGTAGCTTAAGATGAAAGCGACAGCGTCAATCATCACCATATGATTTTCGTCCAGCTTGCTAACTCTGATCTTTCCCAGGACTTCTGCTGTGGTAAGGTAAGCACAGTATTTCTTTAATTTCGAGCACAAAGCTCTCAGCATCACCAAATGTCCTTCGCCTAAAATAACAATCTGACGCCAAGATTGCATGAACAAACTGCACATAATCATACTCTCGAAGTCTGAATAGCTGTTTATGCGAAGCTCTGAATAATGTCTCATTGCCAGAGTCGCTAGAGCGGTATTTGATCATGATTTAAATTTATGGCATTAAGCAGAAGTTAACTACAAATTAATCATGGATAAAATAAAAATTATGTAAATCTTCAAATTATACAAAAATTTTCTAACTCGCTCCATTGTTCTGTGAAGCAGTGGGCTGCATAAACAGGCTCTTAGACACCAAAGAGCAACGGGGAGAGAAACGCGTTTCCGCAAGTGTTTATTAACGCACTCTGGGATTCGAACCCATGTTTCTGATAAATACTGGAATATTTATGGGGATTATGAGTTTAAAGTCGACGACTGTGGTTGGTTGTGACTGTTCCAACTCCGACAATGTCTTTGCACTAGTTACACCTAATTTTTGCTACCAAAAAATTCACTTTTCCTAGCGCTACTTTATTCGTGACGGCCCAACATTTTCCAGTGAGTTTCAAAGCTGCTGTTTTATCGCGTCTATGCGCCTTTATTTCAAATGGCTAGCAAAGTTTTGCACGTTACATCGGCATCAAACGAAACTGGCATTAAACTGCAGAACATCGCTTCTTTGGCAGAAGGCTGCTTCCCGAACAGCACTTGTTCGAAGCGAATCCCCACGTATTGATAGCAACTGTAGTAGTTTAACGGAATAAACTTTGTTATAAAATTTCTATATATGTTTCATAAAATTTTATTCAGTCCAATATCCAGATCTCCCTTCACGGTTAAACTCCTGCTATCGGTAGTCGTTTCTTCACCCCTATCCTCTGCACTGACCCCTTTCAGCGGCGCATAATGTTGCTGAAACTAGCTTACGCTCATCAAGAATCTCGCCGTCAGAAACTTAGACATGATAAATGCCTTAAAACAAACAAACTAAAATGGAACATTTTCGATGTCACGCCGCAATTAATCGCTTTTACCATACTACTTGACAGAGTTTGCGAAAGTCTATTCAAAGCGAAAAATGGCATATTACAGTACCGCGAGAACATAGGAATCAGTCAAAGACTGGGTGACCGAAAACCTAAACCCGTACCTAATCTGAAAACGGGTCTTCGTGGACATTGTCGCAGCCACCTATAGCTGTTATTGAAGATCATATATAATAGCGATTAAGTTTCATCATGAAGATTAGTAGTGGCCAAAAATCCACAAGCTTTACAAAAAACAGGCAGTGAAACGACACAGTTAATGGACGTACCAGTGGCCATTGAAGCGAACTCCGACACGACGAGCAGCCAGTCGGTGATGGAAACGCGGGAGTTAGGAGCGCCACCGTTTCCTGAACTCCCCTTGAAAGTGAAATACGATTCTGACGGATTGAGCAGCATATCGTCAAGAAGCCTGATTAAGATGCGCACGATGAGCACTGACACAGAGGCTGCCTCAGAATAGTGAGAAATTTGCAGCACGAGAGCAAGCGATTTCAAAAACCGCAGGCATTCTTCCATGTAAAACGACAATTGAGAAGGGTTCTGTGGTACAATTCGTAAGTACACATAACATCAGCATGTGCAAGATAATATTACGTGAGTGCCAGTGATGAGTAACTGCCGAAGCAATGCCTTGAGATAGCCCGGATCCGAGAGTAACTCAGTAAATAACTTCATCGCAAATTGCATTAGCTCAATACTGAATGAAGCATTAGCGGCTGAAAAAATAACGGCCATGAAATATCGACAGATATACAGATTAGGTGAGACCTCACCTTTAAATGCAGCAGTACAAAAACTGACCATCGCAGAGATATAGCAAGAAGAGACGGTCGAAAAATCTTTGATTAGAATAAGCGATCCAACGCCTAAAACAAACAAATGCAGTAAAAAATGTTTTGTTTCCCACACAACAACAGTTATGCAAATAAAAGAACAAAACCACAGAAACAGAAGAAAAGAATGCATTTATGCATTCATAAACGCCTTGCAACTTTGAGAAAAAAACGGCCTCCTAGGCTACTATAACAGTTTGTCCTTAATGGGGAGAAAGGAAGCAACATTTCAAATAAGAGTAGTTACATGAAATTTGGAAACAACTGAAAGAAAATCAACGCTTCCGCTGTTTCACATACAAACGGAACCAGATGTGTCACAAAAAATGGTAAGATCAGCAAACAAACTTCAGGACATTAGGTGCATAAAACGGTTGACAAATTTGCTCGCGCGCACATTTGTTCGCCGGCACAATTGCTAGCCACGTTGTTTTGGTACTTTCGATGGCGCATCTTTGCACATTGCATCGCTGCTCAAAAGCACACATTTTATAAGTGGCCGTATGAGCTGGACGCATCAAAAATCGTATATCTAGAGTTTGTTTACAATACAACAGACAAACCGAAACTATTTCACTTTGGCAAACGCTTCATCAAAAAGAAAAGAAATCAAAAGATTTTATGGAAACAAACTTGCCCAGAAAAAATAAATTTAGTACCAGTTCGCACACATTGGACGAATGCATTGAGGCACTGAGAATAATAACCAAGCTGCTGAAGAAACAAAAGCAAAAGTAGAACGAGATATCGGAAAAGTAAAAGAACCTGCCGCTGTCCTTCAATACCCAGTCTTTAAAAATATTACGCTGCCTTCCTTAGCACTGTTGCAAAGAGCAGCAGAAAACTGCTATCTTTACATCGCATTAGCCAGACAGTCAGGTAATACATGTCTAGTACTGCCGAAAGAATACAAGCACACGTCTGATAATGAAGATTTTCCTTTCAACGACGGCGGACTCGGTTACGATAGCACTTAACTCTTGCTAGTATAAGAAAACTTACGGCCGCTGGTGCAATCAGACTAGCATCTCGTGGAACATTTAAAATGGTTTCACAAATGTGCAACACTTGTATCGATCTACAGTAAAATAATAACAAATGTCATTCCATCAGAATTTGTGCTGCTGCCGGGAATTCGCGGTTAAGACAAAAAGCGTCCATTCTTCAAATTCGAATTCAGCTCTTCCAGAGTTCGAAGCCAACCTCCCTGCCACAGTGTGACCAAATTCGACTAACTGACTGCGAGTCTTGTTTGCAATTTTTATGGTATCTGCTCTACAATTCATTTCTCTTTGATTTACATTTGTTTCTTTTGACAATAACAGATGTTATTATTCAGATGAGTAATAATACTAATGCGCAAATCTGGCAAACGATATTTGCCGCATTCTAGGTCCTGAGTACAGAAGCATTGCAAAGCACATAATTTTCTGGCCATTCTTCGAGGACATTCATCAAGCATTACCCCGATGTTATATCTGAAAACATTTCTCATGTTATATTGGGAGAGTACCTATGAATTACGGTTCCCAATCTTTCGCCCGCGCAAGTAGTCAAAAGCGCCTTATCACACACGAATGTCAACGATGTATTATCACTGCAACGTCAGCCCGTTGCTTCAGGCTAATTACAGTGCCTAAAAGGTAAAAAATACAGTTCACGCCGTATTTCATTCCGGCTACGATTCCTTACTTTTGTCGTTACCTGCTGAGGATGCAAAGATTGAATTACTGAAAAATCATGTTCATTAACTCCAAACAGCGAGATTCTATGCGAACCTGTTGAAGCAGTAAGCTTTCAAGAACTGCTGTAGCATGGATTAGACATCGCAGAAATGTCTAACGTAAAATGGACTGGAAATAGCAGTGAACCATTTTATCAAGCCTTCTTCTAAAAAGGGAAAGGAAAGGAAAGAGACGGTACTATCGTGCCTTGGAACCTAAAGCTCGGAGCTAGTCAGTCCGGTAGTGGACCGGAACCACTGAAAAGGCTTCCTGAGGCATCTGATAACGCGGCTGAAAAAACAGCGGACTGTATGAAATGAATGAATCTCTGAGTATAGGCACTTTGAGAGCACGGCTGAACACATCAAATAACGTCAGCGCGGCACAAACGATTCACCTTGCACAAACCTACGTTACTCGAACTTCATTCTATGGCAGCGTGTGACTAAGTCAACCATTGACAAACAATCGACTATAAAACGTAAGGTGACAAACAAACAAAAAGGAAGAAGTGCAAATCTGCTACCCCACTGTTACATCTGAATTAAGACTCAGAACCACAGACGCCATAAATGTCTGTGGTACAACGTTAATTTCGACAGCTCTGGGGCAATGTAATATTTCCGTCTAGTTACTGAAAGTTAAGAGACCCGCAAAGTCCCAAGCGACGCATTAACATTTTCTGGGACACGCTTGCACAACATCTCATTCTAATCATTACATGCACAGGTTAGGTATTCGCCAGACTGCAAAGGAACGAAACGACTACCTGAAAATCTACCATGAATATCGGATATTCTTACTGGTCTTCTAAATGCAAAAGCTGGCAATGCCCCATTTCGCCTACCCATTGACAGAATTGATAATTTGAAACAATTGGTATATCGGCCACTCAAACACTACGTTTGCGAGGTCCTTTTGTCATGCAGCTTTGGTGCTGATCTCCACCTTATTACCTAAGATTGTGTTATTGTTTTTTAAAGGGGTTAACCGCAGCTAGGTAAAAACTAGCGCATGCATTCCCTGTCTTCTTCCTACGTAAAACCCAACTATCCACCATAACAGGGCGACAAGCAACTGGCTACGTTCAGATTGAAACATGGAATTTTCTAGCTGCGAGCCAGACGCATAAATAACTCAGCACCATGCCTTTGTGGACACAGCAGAACACTGACGGAAACATCCGTCACATAAAATTAATCAAGGTAGTCCACAAATGATATTTTTTGACTTAACTTTGATTATCTCACAAGAATTTTAATTTTCTTAAACCTAGTGAGATGATTTGTTTAAAACGGTTTCCTATTGAACGTCTGCTGCATCAACAAAGATGGAATGTCCAATCAAAAATCGAAATAGCAACAAAAATATCGAGTGGCAGACACTTGGCAAAGTCACATGAACAGTAACACAGACAATTTACCGTCTTGGTTGAACATGCTGACTACGGCTGTCTGCTCTCTGAGAGATGTTAGAGAAGCTTCCACAAAGGACAACAAACTGATCATCAACTCCTCGACCTCTGCTCTGAAAGACAAAGAAATATGAAAATAAAATTAGAATAAACGATATGGAACAAGAAATATTCGCACAAACACAAATTTATGGTATTTTTTAAAACTACTTTTATTCAATTATCCTTTGGATAAGCCTTAAATTCTTCATGATTACAATTTTTTGGCATTCGAATACCCATGCGCCCTTGGGTTCAAACTGTGAATCGTCGAACTCCAACTGTAACTTAGACTTTAACCCAAAAACTGAAGATTCGTATTTGCAATAAATGTCCAAAATCAAGAAAAGATTCAAAAATAGCCCCCCTTTTATCAGTACTTTCATTCATATTTAATAGCAACGCCATGGACTTTAGTATTAGAATTATTAAATTGGCGTTATGATATAAATTGTTGTAAGAATGTACCACTCGTAGTAGAATTTAATCCTAAAACTGACAAACATCTGTGACAGGTGAATTCAGCAGTGGATTTTAAAAATATCAGATGTGTAGGCGCAGGCCGCTCATTACGGTAACTTTTGCAGAAATTTTCATAGATCAATCTGAAATTCTGACCGTCAATAAGAACATCAAGATTCATAAAAGGTTGTGCTTACTGCACTTTCGTTACCTCTTTCAAGGGATATCTATAACACATCAGTGATTTACTTTAGTCCTTACGCGTAGTACATTGAATTACTCCTTGGAAGAAAAAACATTCGCGATCTTCCGCTTGTAATAACTTGAACGTCAGGCAACTGTTACGAAACTAGTCATTTATCAAAAAGCTACTACACACAACATAATCCAACCTTACCGCCTAAGTAACGGAGAAAAGAACCACCATATTAATCTACAATAAAGCATGATAAAACAGGGTTAGAATACAAAATACCCGGACAATAGCCTATGGACATCAAAAATGAAAAAATGTCAGACACTGCGAAGCCCGAAGGCAATACCTAGAAAATCCAGCTTGAAACGATGCAGTTTTATATTCATGTCGTTATTCGTCAGAAACTGAATGATGTTATTTGTTGAGACAAGCATACACCACAGAGTAGTGACCAGCATTAAGTTTCCTATGATTTTAGAAACACGGCGAAGGTATGATTACACCATATAAATCAGAAGTGAAACGTCGATATTGTTCAAATCGGCAATAAACTTTATTAACTCGTGCTGATAAACACAGAATATCACGAGTAGTTATAAACACATTTGTTTAATTAATAAACAGACAACATAATTTAATGTTGTCGAATACTGCAAAAATTACAACTGTAGATACTAAATATAACATTAATGTAACAACTATTCACAAGGTAGTTTTACTAAGGGGAAATTAGTAACACCGTCGCAGAAAGAACGATTGTCGAAGATAAATTGTAAAAGATGGATGACGGCAGAGAACAAAGGCGGAATGTTTGAAGGAAGCATTCAGGATAGAAACAAAGCTCTGACACCAAAACGTCAAGCTCCAATATAAAAAACGTCCAGGACTAGTAAATAACGCGAAGTAGTTCGAGAAAAAAAATTCTGTCTTCCGATAACCAGTCTACACGGTACCGTCAACGAAAGAGATTGTTTGAACGAGA